GTTTTCGAATGATTGTTTTGGAAGGTGCGTCGGATGAAGGAATGTAGTTATGTTTTTATTTGGGGAGTAATTAAAGAAAAGAAGATTTTAAGCCTTGTCTATTGATGTTTAATAAAAAACTAATTTAAATATGCTTTGTCACAATATTTGTATAAGAAACATCAAATTTTTGTAAGCAGAAAAAACTTAATAAATGTTTAGGCGAAGGACATTATCATATCAATGTTTCCTGTATTGCAAATTTACAGCAAACTGATACGAATCCTATGTAAAGAGTTTTGTTTAAGATTTCACATGTTAAGAACGTGTATTTATAATCATTTCGGAGTTCATATTGTTGTTGGCACCATTGTTCGTATCGAACAAAGAAACGAAATTATTTTTTGAGTAATCTAAATAGATATATGTATTGTAATTTTGATATAGATAAATAAGCCCTTTTAACACCACGATTCCCCAGCTTTCCTTAGTTAAAAATCCATCAGTTGTGGTTATGTTTAACAAATTAATAGTATTAACAAAATCTTATCTTTCTTTCGTGAGTTCTGAATAATATAGCTGCAGAGAAAAATGAAATATCACAAGTGTTTAGAACCATATACTACACTTTCATTATACATATATATGGATTATTTGCTGTAAAAGCATAAACATCAAATATAACAGCGCGAGTGTTTTGACATGTTATAGTCCAAAGTCTGGTAATAGTTATTTATTTAACGTCTTTGAAATAAACTCGTTTTTAAATGCTGGTATTTTAACATTTTTTAAAATGAAAGTTTTAAAATTCTAAATATTTTACTAAATATATAGTTTAATGAGACACACTTGTCCAGCGTGGTCCAGACAGTTACGCTAGAATATGGAGAAAATAATTTATCATTTCCGAAATCGATAATCTGTCATTAACACGATACCTGTAGACGACGCACGTGCCACGAACATGTGTACCTGAGCAGTAAACACGCGTCAGATGCGGGGGCATTTTGAAAGTAAGACATACGTAGACTTCATAATAAGTACTCATCTACTTTATTTACATTGGAATGGAAATTTTACTGATATCGTGTTTCAGTTCATAATGCAACTTTTCATACTTAAAGATTAATTAATTATATAAACAATAAGCTTTTTGTTTTGTTTGTTACACTACAGTGAAAAAGACTAAGTAAATAAATAAATACATAAACACACAAAAAGAATTATCATTTTTGTAAACGAAAAGACAAAGAAATCACAGGATTCCAATGAATAGTATTATTAAGAATATTCTAAATAATCGTTATTAAGTTAAGATTAAAACTTCAGCAGTTTATCGTTATTCGGTGTCTGTTTTAAGTGAACAACCTAAAACATCGACATTAAGATTTTTAAATGTGGTTGAAATTACTCTTTTCTTGACCGAAGTAAGAAAATGATATTCTCTCACTTTTTATATAATTTTTTCTATAGAAAAGTCAGTGGAATGAAATAGCTATGATATCTATGTTTTGTTTTCATATATTTTAATCCAAAATTCAAAACAAACATTTGGTTATTATGAAGAAATAATTGATTATTCTATGAGATAAAAACATCTATTTAAAAGTGAATTTCTGACTTGAAACTTCCTTTCGTGGGTACTATTGACCGTTCAACATTGTGATGCTAATTCTTTGTATGTATGTTTATAACATCGAATGCGTTTCAAATACCTTCTGTACTGGTGTGTCAAACATTATGTCAGATATCGTCAACACTAGCAGGAACTACCCTGATAAGATCTGTCAATGACATGAAACAATTATACAGTCAGGTGCTGAGAATCGATAGGTAATGTAATGTCTGTGACACAATGAAAGTGAATAGTGTGTCGTTTTTTTCACTAATCGGCTGGGTATACTTCGACAACCTCGCTCATTAAAATCACATTTATCATTCTCTAGCAAATATTCCAATTAGAGGAAATGGTCTTTCAAATATCATCAGCAAATCTTACATAGAAATAGTGATCACCACGCCGATAACATCTCCCGTCTAGAAAATATGTCATATTTGGAAGCAGCATTGAAATATAGGTCGATAATGACACTAGGCTCCAACTTTAAACATTGGATATATATATGCGGTTATATTAGTTATTAATTTCTCTACTATTAAAAGCACCGTATTTTGTCCGAGTGGGATCAGGGTAACATATTTATACAGCTTGAGAGTTTCTAAATGAATTAAAATCTCACACATATTTCATTATACTTTTATCAGAAATATATGGAAATGTCGATTGCATCATACATGCCTACAATAAACTTGAATTATGAATGTCGACGTAATATTATATGTCTTAGTGTATTTAGTTGGTACTGTATTTTATTCTATAGTAGCAGAAATGATTCTGTAATGTACGCGGTAATCAATTGTAATCAAATGTAGTTTTCACAAAACGCTTGGTTTTTTAAGGTAAACAATTATTTCCCAGCACCAAAAATAAAAGAAATCGATTCTGCATAACTTATCTCTAAGCTGTTTATATCGTAAACTTTTCTGATACTGGTAATCAAGTAAACTGTTGTTTATTAGTTAAAAACGTCACAAACACCGTTGTTTATAGTAATGGTCTTAATTTGTCTGATACTACTAATCAAATGCACTGTAGTTTATATCTGTAATCTTATCATACACTGTATCTAAATTCAGTTCCTATAGAAAGGTGATATTCACTTGTTTGTTTTGTACAAAAATGAATAATGACGTTTGTAGCAGTACTGTTAAATTGTCTGAAACCACAAATCACGCAGACTTTTTGTCAAAATACCGCTGATTTAACTGATGTCATTGTATATGTGATAAACATGTCTCTTCTGGCAAATGGTAGATACTGATATCTCAATCACATGGGCTACTGTTTCCAGCAATAATATTTACTTGTCTGATGTATCAAATTAGACATAAGGTTGTTTTTAACAATGATGTTCACCTGTCTGATGCAGCATGTCATATAGTCTACTGTTTCTAGTAATGTTATTAATTGTTTTACCAGAAAAATCATATGCACGGTTGTAGCTAGCAATACTGTTAACTTCTCGGATACATCAAATCACTTAAACGGTTGTTTTTCAAGCAATACAGTAAACTTGTATTTAATCGTAAATCACACATTCCTTTGTTTCCGTTTATATTGTTAATTTTAATGAAAACACAAATTTTAGACTATATTTTCAAATAACACGGTCCATTCATCAATTACATTGCGATGCACTACATATCTAAGTTCTAGTCATTTTAATACAACCGTTTACGCTAAGTGTTGTTTCTTGCCACGTGCGTGCATAGTTAGTGGATTATTTTTCAAACCTTTGTTCTCATTATCAAAACCAATTCAATTGAGAAGTTCAGTATAAAATGTAGAGTTACAGAGGTAGAATGGATTATACTTTTTGTCTCTACAGGAGCAACAAGAAAATATAAGACAATTATTGAGTTTCTGTTATTTACATCTCACTACCAACAAATTAAAAACGTAATTGTACTTATTTCAGATGTGAAAAATAAAATAAGCAGGTTCACCATAGTTCAAAAATTAATTTTTGTTTATCTGAATTCGAAATAACCAAGTTTGAAAATATGACGTTGTGAAGCTTATGAAGGTTAATACAACTCATCTTTGACTTTTTTTATTATTTGGTTTACAAATTTGGCAAAGAAAAAAATAGCTATGGGAGAAAGGTTCTTTTGACGAGGAATTTGTATACTTGTGAGATGCTTGATAAGGTGTTGACATTAACTGTAACGAAAGAGGAAATCTAATCACTGTGGCGGGTGAATAGATACTATAAAGTGTATGGTGACTAGTTTGTCTGCGATGTTGTCATGTCAAATTAGACCTATGGTGGGCCTCTTAAAAATCACCGGTTTCAGGAACTTTTCATTAATACCACTTAACGAACCAATAAACCATACATGAACCTGACATATTTTGACAAGATCCAGACATGAAGGTTTTGATCAATCTTGTAGGGTGCTTCATACCTGTCGATTCCAATAGACGCTTATCTGGTACATGGTGATTTGTCTATAAGCGACACAGTTTGAAGACCCAACAATGGATCAATTGTGAATAGATAGCAGATAAAAGTAATTTTGTTTACAAAAGTAGATTGTCAATCTAATGGTTACACGTATAAGGGACATGTGAAACAAACCGGAAATCTTGCTTATACCCGATGGACTTTTGATGAAATATTTTTGGCAGTTTTATCTTTTCGATGGTGAAACATTTTACTGAAAAGGATTTTTTTTCATTCCTGCTAATAATCATGACCGTTCGTACTACAGTATCGTTTTTTTTGTAACATGCATTTGATTCGAGTGCGTATTTAGATTCAGATAGACACTTTGTGTACGAATACCCATCAACATTACATAATTTTCTTCCTAGATACAGATTAATATGAACCGCACTTCCATCATATTACACATAACATTATCGTTCGAGGCAGAAGCACGGAATACTAATGAGTTCATTAAATATTGCAATAACGGGTAAATCATTATATTCTTGGAACATAACTCATAAAACACTTAAGCTGATAAGTTACAATACGTTTGTCTGAGACGGGTATTATATCATCTTTGTCTTCATTACAAATACATTATAAATGCTTTCTCTTTAACCTTGACATAGTCTTCAACATTCAGACGCTTACTGTTCGAGTTTAGCTGATTGGTTCCATAACTGAATCCTTGAATTGTCTATCAATTAATTATATTTTTCGTACAATTAATCAATTTTTAGCCAAGATAGCTATATATATTGTTCTTGCATAATGAGAGATATCAATATATGTTCTTACCTATGTGAACTTTTTCTTTTTGTTTTTGTTTTTCTCTGTATTTTGTTTTGTGTGTTTGATTTGTTTGTATTTTTTTCGTTTGTTTGTGTTTGCATTCTTGATTTATCGGTTGATAATCTAGATGGTAAAGTAGCAGATATTTTATATATATAGATAAATGTTACGTACCTGTGACATGATTCTATCAGAACCGTTGCCCTCTTCGTCCTTAAATATGATGTTGGGGTTATCGTTGGTAACAAGCTGTTTAAATTTCGGATCATCTCGGGTGATGACACCCTCGCTTAGTCCACTAGCTCCAATGGTGTTTTCTGATAAATTCGGCACACCTTGTTTGTGAACCAAGGGAATCATTTTTGCAGGTCTTTTCCTTCTGCCTACCACCCGGCCACATTGCAGGGAAGGTCCCGTTAGAAGGAGGAACACGATTAGCCCCGTGTAGAATCGTCGATACGTCGGACTATACATACCGCCGTCTTATGCAATTGTTTTAAAACTTTTTAAAACACAAAAAAAATATCACAAAATACTCTTACTACTTTTAGAAAACGAGAAACGGTCTTATATGCACATTCACAGGAATGAAATCAGGAAATATATCAGATTATTAACAATTATTTTAATTTCACTGCTGACTGTATGATGATTAACTGTTAGCCTTTTTTAGAGACATATTCGTCAGAAATACAAGTCCAGTTCACTAATGATACCAATCGTTGAGACATCACAAGACGATACAACTATAATCCAATCACCAACATCTAAATCAAACTCATCCTGTCTGTCAAACTAAAGTTGATAATTTGTATGAAGAAGAGATGATTGCCTAGTGCCCTATGCTAAGCGCCGATTGTGATTGATTGGTGTACAGTGGTGATCCGTTGTCTAACATAACGTGAACGTAAGGTCTTCTGTGAGGGCTCTAGACCTCTCTGATTGGTAAGAATATTGTAATTAAATCACCTTCCTTCCATACCTAGTCATATAAAGCGACTAGCCAAATCTTATTGGATCGTATGACCGCCGCTCTGACACTGCTGTCAAGTAAAAAACCCGACGAAGCTGCCCACTCTATGCTCGCCTCCGATAAGATCGAGGTTCTACGTCTGTCATACTGGCTCGCTCACTTCTCCAGTGATATACAGGTGGTTGACTAAAAAACGAAAGGAAAATAAATGTTTAAACCGGAGACTTCCCACAGGTAAAAGGTTAAACTAGCTTCTGGTAAAATTTAAAGTAGTTCCTATCATAGGGTGTGACTTAGTAAGAGGTAAAGGTGTTTATGGTTGGGGGTGTCCTGACCAGGCGATCATGTATGGCCCAAGGTGTATACGTACAGGTGATTGACACTTCCCAAGTTAACATCGCCCACCTCCACACCCCCTTGTTCAAAATTTAACTATATCTCAATCTGTAGTGTAATAAAACAAAACTATCTGATAAAACCTTCAATATCTCATGGATGATCTAGCACTTCGTAAGAAATCAATGAAACATATTTTCTACTAGAATGACAATTAACAAGGTAGCGGATTTCCCTTTATAGTACAACTTTCAGGCCAATTAACTGCAGGCTGAAGGAGAATGTGTACTGTTGGTGAAACGGTTCGATAGTGAGTTCCCACACTCGAGCTAAATCTCCACACGATATTTAACAAACATTTCTTTATGTTAGACATCTACAAGATCTGTTGAAATTCATTTTTGAATTTTTTATGTGATATGCTATAAACTGGCTGCTCACTGATATTATCTAACACGATTTAGATGGAAACATAGCTATATTTGGAATTAAATATGCTTTACTTTCTGGTGAATATATCTTTTGTCGCCTTCCAAACTTTTGTTACTGACGAACAAAAAATATCACGATTTTGAAAAAATCCTCAATGAATCAATTAGAAATGTAAGATGGAGGAATTTTCTACCGCATCATTTGATAAAAAGGAAATGGCGTTTGTAAATGCAATTAGGATAGAGCGATAATATACTCTGTATTGAAACAATTTTCGTCAGTCAGAGAAAGTCATTCATAATAGTCGTGTACTTAAGGTGGCTCGGAAAAAGCACGTCTTCGCTATGTGTAAGGGCAAATAAAGGGGTTATAAATATATAGCATATGGTTTTAAGTTTTATACAGACTTCAACATTTTAAAAATGGTTTGACTGTTTCAAGAAAACATATTATGCAGAATTCTACAGCAATTAATTATTACGTGCTTTATTGTAATAAGTCATTCCTAAAAAGTATCTTTGAAGACGCCGATACAAACTTCTAGTACTATATGTGGGTGCTATTCAACGCTCAAGGCATCATTTAATCATTACGACAGTCGTATCAACAGACATGTTTTACCACATGTGGTGTAACACATTCCCATATTTTGATTTGCTGAACTTCAACCGAAATGGCGCTTTACGCGCTCACACAAGACAAGTAATGGAGACGTAATAAGTAGTCCTCAATTGTTTTGGCATTAATTGGATTTTCCTTTAGATTTCTGTGGGGCTTTTTTGTCTTGAAAAAAAAAACCAAACGAATTTCTAGATATAATTTGTAATGAGGTATATCTCCATAAATTTTTGACATTAATAGCTTTGGATATTGATTTCAATAAAGGACATTTTATTACGCCGGAAATGAGGACGTTAAGTACACACACATGGTACAAACAAGTCAATTCAATTTCGGAAGAGCTTTTAATTATGGTAGAAACAGGTCACACAAACTTGTGGTTGTTATATAAGGTATTTCTTACACTCTAGTTAGTTCTATTCCAAAAGTTACGAAAACACTTACTAAAGCTCATTTTGAAAAAAAAACCAACCTCTTATTGTGGAACCTCAATAGATATTGTTGTTTTAGTACCGTATAAACAGACTTTAACGTTGTCTAGATAAAGTGCTCTTAATATACACGTAATCAAACATCTCGATCACTTGATACAAGCAAATAACACAATTTGTAACACTCGACATGGTATCAAAAGATAACAGAACGGCTGAGATGTTCAAGATGACAGCACCGCTGACAATACTTACGTTTTCATTAGTGACGTATTTACAACAGGTCGTTACCAATACCTTCGAAATACTCACTGCTAGTTTAAAGTAAACATTTCGATGTATTAATCAAATATTGCCGTGTTAAGTGACCTGTCCACTATTCAAACTATCCATGTTATCATTGCCGTTGTTAGATAAGTCGTGAAACATTTACTTTAGGGACAGTGTCTGATCGTCAGGGTCAATTTAAGAATGGTAAAAGTGATTGGTACACATAGCAATTTATCACTGTGCGAGACTATATGTGTATATTCAGGGTAATTACTTAAAGACATCGGGCGTATCATTTTCGTAACCGTTGTTATCCATCTGTGTAGCTTGTTTAAATTAGTATGGTTATAAAAATGACGTCACTGGATTTTGCCGAGGAAACCATAAAATGGTAGAGATCATTATGTTACTATGTTCCGGAAATTATTGTCATAGTATTCAAAGGGTATCGATATGTGTTTCATCCGCGAAAGACTGGTTAGTGTGTGAGGGTGGCTAGATCTGGGCCGAACGACAACACATTTGTCTATATATAGATCATAACTTATAAAAACAGAAAATTAAAATCTAATAAAATTCATGAAACACGTGATCAAATCACTCACTCTTATTATGTATTTCAATCCAAAACATACTTCATAACACATTTAACAGACATGTTAAAAAACTTTTCACAGATATATTTCCAACATTTCAGTCATGGGTTAAAGGATAGCAAAAAAATGGAATTAATCTTTCAACGTCATTGTTTATAATACATTCCAGGGGGAAAATGAATCAGCTCTAGATAATCAATCTATTAAAACAATGACTTTGTTGTCAGCCAATACTATGTAAGGAATTTAGCGATTGCAGATCTATACAATACATTTATCATAAAATTTAACCCCGGAAAAAAAGGAACAAGATTAACACCAAAGCAGTTAACCAGTCTAGACCATCGCGTATATACATACACGATCATGTTTGAAGCGAAGAGACTTAACCTCGTGGACCCTCTGGCACCACAGCTAAGTCAGGTTAAGCGGTATCCAGAAGATTAATGCTGGAACAATATGCAGTCAGTCTATCACAACCTCCCATGCTTTATTTTGTTTTACATGTTTCTGTATATAGTAATGTGTTGGGAGTTTTTCTTTCATGTAAGTAATGTATTGAGGCTGGCTAACTTAAATTGCATTAAAAAAAAAAAAAAAGAAAAGATTTTAGAAATTCAAATTATCTCTGGAACTATAAATATCTTATTGTGTCAAATCTCTTACTGATGTTTATGTAACGTTTAACGAAGATTTCAATATCATTAAGTAAAGAAATCATTTATATTCATTAGACACACGACTTGACTATAAATCTTCCTAGATTTTATATGTACATATTTTTGAATAGTGATGATTACGTTAAGTAACTTCACCATTATAAGTTTCATCGTTAATAACTAACTAACTAACTAACTAGCTGTCAATTACTTTAGTAATATAATTACGTGTACACACTAGACATAGTAATATAATTACGTGTACACACTAGACATAGTAATATAATTACGTGTACACATTAGACATAGTAATATAATTACGTGTACACACTAGACATAGTAATACAGTTACGCATACACACTAGACATAGTAATATAATTACGTGTACACACTAGACATAGTAATATAATTACGTGTACACACTAGACATAGTAATATAATTACGTACACACACTAGACATAGTAATACAATTACGTGTACACACTAGACATAGTAATACAGTTACGCATACACACTAGACATAGTAATATAATTACGTACACACACTAGACATAGTAATACAATTACGCATACACACTAGACATAGTAATATAATTACGTGTACACACTAGACATAGTAATACAGTTACGTGTACACACTAGACATAGAAATATAATTACGTGTACACACTAGACATAGTAATATAATTACGTGTACACACTAGACATAGTAATACAATTACGTACACACACTAGACATAGTAATATAATTACGTGTACACACTAGACATAGTAATACAGTTACGTGTACACACTAGACATAGAAATATAATTACGTGTACACACTAGACATAGTAATACAGTTACGCATACACACTAGACATAGTAATATAATTTCGTGTACACACTAGACATAGTAATATAATTACGTGTACACACTAGACATAGTAATACAATAACGTACACACACTAGACATAGTAATATAATTACGTGTACACACTAGACATAGTAATACAGTTACGTGTACACACTAGACATAGAAATATAATTACGTGTACACACTAGACATAGTAGTTACGTGTACACACTAGACATAGTAATATAATTACGTGTACACACTAGACATAGTAATATAATTACGTGTACACACTAGACATAGTAATACAGTTACGCA